ATTTGCTACTTTAAGAAATACTTTCTTTTGGGGCCGCCATTGTGACGTAGTGGGTTAAGCCATTGCTTGAGATGCTGGCATTTCATATGAGCATCGGTTCACGTACCAGCTGCTCCACTTCTGATCCAGCTCCCTGCCAATGGCTGGGGAGAGCACCAGAAGGTGGCCCAAGTGCTTGGGCCCCTGTCACCCATGTGGGAGACCTGGAGGAAGCTCCTGGCTCCTGGCTTACGCCTGGCCTGGTCTTAGCTGTTGTGGCTATCTGGGAAGTGAACCACTGGATGGAAGATCTCTCTCTGTCTCTCCCTCTCTCACTGTAACTCTGATTTTAATACAAATAAATAAAATCTTCTTTAAAAAAAGCTTCATGAGGAATAGTTTTGATCAAAATCGATAACTTTGGTAGTGACATGCAGCAACTGTGAATTAGTATAAACCAGGGTTTGCTTCATGGCAATTTTTCTCTATGATACAATCTATGACTAAACAACTATGAGGTCTCCCGGAGGATACAATGTGTCGAATGCACTGGTTCTGACCGCCAAGAGTACACAGGGACATGTCGGAGCCGGGAGCTCCCAGGAGGAAGCAGAATTAATGGCGCATCACATGGAGGGACTCTCATGAAGAGACAACCTACTACAGGCCAATCAGCTCGGGATGCTGAGATCTTCCAGGCTCAGGCCAGGCTGGAGGCAGAGGGAGGGACGCCGCAGTGCCACAGGGGCTCAAGGAGGCAGCATCCCGAGAGGGGGAAGCCACCAGACGTCGCGGGGCCCTTTGTTCCCGCTCACAGAGATGGTCACACTGGCAGGGGCCACTTTCGGGTGCCAGGGTGGGGAGGCCAGAGCAGTGTGGCCCGCGGGCCAGATTCTTCCGCTCGGAGACTTTTTTTTAAGTGCAAACTCCCCACACCCCTGCATTTCCCTCTTTTCAAACTCCGTTTCATACGTGTTTCCCTCCGCTGAGGCTGACGTCCCCCAGTCAGAAGACTTGTCTCTGAGCCCCCGGCCCGCGGGCGCTCTGAGTGGAGGGGACTCTTCATACACCTGGCGATGACCACGCCTCGCGGGGACCCTCCCCGGGCCCCCTGCTCGCCCTGACCCCCATACCCTCAGGTGCCTCGGTCTGCGTCACCTGCGTGTGATGTAGCACACCTGGCACTTTCGCATCCATGCTCTCTGGCCTATTAGTCGTGTGTGTGTGTGTGTGTGTGTGTGTATGTGTGTGTGTGTGTGTGTCTGTATGTAAGTTCATTCCAGGAAGAAAATAAACAATATGAAGCTAAAACTTCCAAGAAGCCCTTGTGGAAGAACCACCGGGTTGTCCCAGCGGGGTCCTAGGGAAGGGTCTCCGAGCACTGGCAAACTGGAAGTCCTGCGGTGCCGGGAGCACGTGGAGCTCCTCCCACCGCAGGCCCAGGCCCTGCAACAGTGGTGTCTTGCACATCCGCCATACTCCACAAACGTTTGCTGAATTGGCTAAACCTGGGATTGTTCCATAATCAACCACCCCGAACAGCACACAGATAATTACTTCTTGGAAATATTCCAAGTGGTGTTTGATGGTACTCAAAAACGATTTTTTTTTTTTTGGTCAAGAGCAGTGCAGGATTATGTTATTCCAAGTTTGTTTTTTAAAATGTCATCTACATCGAATTGCAGCTTCATAAAAAATCCCTACCAGCACACACCACAATGGATTCAAGGTATCGTATTGTTTTACAACTGATGCCTCATCTTCTGAGAAAGCATACGGCTTCTCTGACTAGGATTAAGAAAAGGCATAGTTTGGTATTAATGTAAGAGCTGAAGACATTTCAGATGCATCCTCTGATTACTGTCATAATACAAACAATTTTTTAAGATTCAAAATGTTACCACAAACCTGGTCTCCACTTAAGAGTATGCTGCATTTTTCCCACATTTCAGAAAAATGTCCAATTGCAAAGCCAATTTGGAAACATAACTTTTAAAGTGTAAAGAGCAAAACTGCTGCATTTAAAATGAATCTAAATGGACAAAAAAACCAGACATATATACTCAGGAAGACAAAGGTTTGGTGCAAGTGAAAATATTACTTCTTTCTTTATACGGCATCGAATCAGCCACTCCCATACTTCATAGCATAGATCAGGCATTAACTTGGTATGATCTTGACCCTTGATATCCTAAATTTAACACTCTTGAGAACAAGGTAGCCTTTTTCTTCTGCTTTATGAGCAAATGAACTTGGAATCCTAGGGAATGCAGCTGTGCGGGCCTTTGAACCAAGACTAAAAGAGCTGAATCCTGCTTCGTTTCTAAAGACATCAGAGGGTCTGTTTTGACTTAATGAAAGGGCGAGTTGGTCTCCCATGCTGCGAGAAAACAGCCTCCCTCTGAGGCTCTCCCAGGCTCACAACACGGGAGGTGGGTTTCTTCCAGGGTGGGGGTGGGGGGTGCCGCGAATGTCACCTCCATCCAGACTGCTGTTAGATTCATTTTCCCAAAATGCACTGTGGCAGGAAAGAAATTCAGAATGCAGTGAAAATGTAAGGCTGCATTTAAAGCCACAGGTGATGGAGGTAGGAGCAGCAGCAGAAATTCGTTATCTGCAACCTTGCGGTTCCCTAAATCGCTCCAACACATGGCTTCAGAAGCTTCGGAGAAATGGCTTTATGATACCTCTCCGGTATTTCAACAGCCTCAGCGGGCAAAACGTCATGCTCTTACAGTACAGAAAAAGCCTTCATGGTCAGACTCCTTGGATTGGCCCTGGGTGATTAACAACGAGGAATGCTACCCATCCACAGAGAAACCAAACTCTCATCTTTCTAGGAACCTCCAGAATGGAAAAGCAAAAACCAGTGCTACCAGAGCATCCCCGGTAAACTTCAGGGTAGAAGGTTACAAGAACCCACTTCCCTTACCTGGCTGCACCATGTGAGGTGCACTGAGACTTCCAACTCCGTCACCGTGCACAGCGTCTGACCTCATGTTCAGCTGAGCTCTGGAAGGCTGAGAGGCGTGGAGACAGACTCAGCCACTGTTCGCTCATCCACTGTGCCTCTTCATCACCACACTTTCTGGATGGAACCTGTGCCCAGCCAGCTGACCCCTGGGAGGGGCAGAAGGACACATCTCCCCTTGTTTTCCTTTGGACCATGTGGTGCTGGGGAAGACCCCCAGACTCCCCTGTAGTCATCTGGTCAGTCCATTCTCCACGTGCAGAGAGTGGCAAGTCAATCAGAGACTCCTGCTACAAAGCTACAAACGTTTACCAAGTATGCCCTTTTTTTTTCTTTTGTTGCTGGGACAAAACTGGTAGTCACTCCTAAGGGGTTGTCACACAGAAACGACTGGTCTGAAAATTAAAAGCACCCCAGGACTGGAGCGCATCTCAGTAACCCTGATGGATGGGGCTAGTCACACCTTAAATGGCTACACCCACCCCCAGGCTTGCTGCAGCAACCGCAAAAAAAGACCTTCAGCCAGTCTGGACTGGTTTTGTCACTTGCAGCTGCAGGAATCCTGGCTCCTAACAAGGTGACACTAAAAATAAACAGCAGAGTGCTCCTGGCAGAGAGGAGGAAGGGGCTGAGGCCCACCTCCCGCCGGGTGGTCTCAGCGCTGCTCCTGAGCCCCCCAGGACCCGGCTTCCCCCCCAGCTCCTGCCCCTAAGCACCGCGCAGCAGGGTGGTGCACGGGCACCGAGGGCCTGCGCGCTCTGCGTTCCTCGGTCCCTTCCACGTTAGAGCCGCGGGTCTGGGCCGCCACGCGGACGCTGGGGCATTCTTCAGCCTTGGCCTCTCCAGTTAGCTCATGCGCTCACAGCAGGCGCAACCACAGCTGGCCATGCGTCCAGGGGCTGTCTCACAAAGATCTGAGCTGAACATTTTCCTGTCACTGTAAGCTAACATCGCTGCCTCTTCCTCCGCCCCTGGCCATTTCTCTCCCGCTCCACCCAGTGACCCCTGGGGGACTCAGGAAAGCGGACAGGGGGCTGGCGATGGGGCTTCCCCCAGTTAGTTCGGGAACAGCAATCAAGTCAGTCTGCAGGAAACAAAGGAGAAAGCCAAGCGGACAGGCCGGCTTCGGAGTGCAGGGACAGCGCGCCCTAGGGGGCGGCCGACCCTTCTGGCCGCTAGCCCGCACCCCACGAGCTCTCCCGGAACTGCGCCGGGCTCGGAGTCCCGCGGGTAACTACCAGACCCACCGGCGCCGGGCGCCCACCACAGTGGGGCTCGCTCTCTAGCTCCCGCGCCTTTCCCTGCGCCCCGACCTCACGCTGCTCCACGTGTCCGCAGCCCCTCTCCCTAACGCTCAGCCACGCTGCTTTTTTACTTTCACGTTCGCGCATCGTGCGCGTGGGCGCTCCTAGCGCCAAGCGTGCGCGCGCGGCGGGGGGGGCGACCCTGGACGAATCGCCCACACCGTGCGGGCGGCTGCGTGAAGCTCACCGCAATGATGCACAGACTCACGTGGGTCAGGCTTGCGAACAGGTACACAGCACGGGTGCAAAGACACGCACTGTTACGGGCAAAAGCCCAGCACGCCGGACTGTGAGAGGCACACGGTGGGCGCTCCAGGCTACATCCTGAAGAAGTGAATGAATGCACGAACGAATGAATGAATGTCCGAAGGATCGGACCTCCGAGACCCGCAGGGCAGGCGCTTCGGGAGGTGGGCGCGGGCGAGAGGCCAAGCGCCACCCCCACGGCCGCGGACACCCCGCGCTCCGGCCGCCCACCGAAGCACCGGCCTCGAGCGCAGACAGCCAGCTGGACACTGCAGCCACGTGCACCGCCCCCGAGGCCGCGGCGCAGGCCCCGCCTTCGCTGCTCACGCACGCGCCCTGCCGCCCGGTGGCCCCGAAACCCTGGCTCCCCTGCGCGCCGGCTGCCCCTCGCGCCCGTGCCCGCTGGGGGGCGCTGTCCACCCACCCCCAAGCACCCACGCGCGGGCGCCCTGTGCCCCGAGGCGATTCCGTTCCGGACCATGACACGCGCTGCCTCCTACCTGAGGGCCCACGAGGGAGGCGGGCTGGAAGGGCCGAGGGAGCTGAACAGGATCCTGGCCTGAGGCGGAAGGCGAGAGGGAGAGAGGCTGCAGCGCGGGGACCCGGGACTGGCCGCGGGCGCGCGCGCACACACACACGCGCGCACGCGCTCCCCGCCCTCGCTCCCTCAGTCGACTCCCGGCCAGAGCCCAACCCCGCTGCAGCGCGCCGCCCGCCTCGCCGCGCCTAATAACAACGGCTCCCGGGGTCAGGTGGCCGCGCGCGGACAGCGTCGCCATTGGCCCGGCGGGGAGCGCGGCGCGCCGGGATTGGCTGGGAGGCGGGGCGTCGGCCAGGAGGGGGCGGGGCAGGGGAGGGAGGTGGGCGGGGCGGGGGCGGGGGCGGGGCCAGGCCTCGGTCCGCGCCTTTGTGCCCGGCGCGCGCTCTCCGCCGGCTCCGGCTGCAGCGCCCGCTGCATCAATAATTCAGAGCGGCGGCGGCGGCGGCAGCGGCGGGTGCGGGCGGGAGGCGGCGGCGGCGGCGACCGCGGTCACTGAGCGGCAGCGGCTATGCGTCCAAGTGCGGCTGGGCAGCCGCGACAGCCCTGAGGCCCGGGAAGGGCTCCGGGAGCATCGTGCGGCGGGAGACGCCCGTCCCGGAGCGCGAGGACAGAGCCGCGGTGTCCAGGGCGGCGGCGTCGGAGCTGCGCGCCGAGCCGAGCCGAGGAGGGGGCTTCGGAGCGGGGCCGGGGAGGGGGGGCGGCTGGCGCAGGCGGCTCGGGGGCGGGGGCGGGGTGGGCGCCGGCGGCGCGATGCTGGGCGCCGTGGAGCTGCTGCTGCTGGGGGCTGCGTGGCTGGCGGGCCCGGCCCGCGGGCAGAACGAGACGGAGCCCATCGTCCTGGAGGGCAAGTGCCTGGTGGTGTGCGACTCCAACCCCACGTCCGACCCCACGGGCACGGCCCTGGGCATCTCCGTGCGCTCTGGCAGCGCCAAGGTGGCCTTCTCCGCCATCCGGAGCACCAACCACGAGCCGTCCGAGATGAGCAATCGCACCATGATCATCTACTTCGACCAGGTGGGCGCGCGGAGGGGCGCGGGCGGGCCGGCTGCGGGACCCCGCGGAGGGACGCGGGCGCTGAGCCCTGCCTCCGCGCCCCGTCCCCGTCTCCTTGTAGGTGCTGGTGAACATCGGGAACAACTTCGATTCGGAGCGCAGCACTTTCATCGCGCCGCGCAAAGGGATCTACAGTTTTAACTTCCACGTGGTAAAAGTCTACAACAGACAGACCATCCAGGTCAGCCGCCGCCGCCGCAGGGCCCACCTCGGCCCCGGTGGGGGGCTGCCGGCTGCCGGGCCGGGCGGACCGCGGGCGGGCTGGGAGGCCGAGGCGGCCGCCGGCGTGGGGGTGGGGGGAAAGGGGTGCGGACAGCGGCGCCTCGCGGCCCCGGGGCTCGCACTCGCGCTGGCTCCGCGGCTCCAGGCGCGGGTTGCGAGCTCTGCCTTCTGTCCTCCCTGGGGAGTTGGTGTGAAGGTTGCGGTTTGCACCGCCGGCAGCTCCCGCTTCCTCAAGCTGCCCGCCACAGACTCAAGGCAGCACCCCGACCCCCGCCCCAGCACAGAAGCCCCGCGAGGCGCTTCTTTGCTTGTCTTTAGCCCGCGTGGACAGGACAGGTCCCCTGTGTCGTGGCGTCTCTTTGGGGGACTGACCTCCGTCCTGGCGGGGAGAGGGTGCAGTGCCACTCCCTCCCGGCTCCAGCCAAGCCCCGGCCGTCGCGCGCAGGCTTTCCTGGTCCCCAGCGGTATCCAGGGCCCCTTTGAGTGTAGACAGAAGCGGCCCGCGCGGCGAGGACTGGGCGCCTGGTCCGTGGTCGGTGGTGCAGCGCAAGGGCAAAAGCTGTCAGTGGCGGGCCTGGCAGGATTCGGGGCGGAACGGAGACCGTGCCTTGGCCGCGGAGCGCACCGAGGCAGCCCCGCGCGAGGTTGTCAGCCGGCCCTTTCTCCGCGGCGCCGCGGTTCCCGGGGCGGCGGAGGCTGTGTTTTTGTTTGCTTTCCGCGGAGCGCCGGGAGCGGAGTTCCTCTTAGTGACTGGGGTCGGGGTGGGGGGTACCTTGGGGTCATTACAGTGGATCGCGGAGCACGATCCGATTCTCCTGGCGTGCTCCTGGGAGAAAGCAGAGCGAGGCGACTACCGTTTTGGGCGCAGACTCTTAACCGCCCGCACCTCCGCCCCCTTCTCCCGGTGGCCAGCAGGTGCCCCGCGGCTCCCGCGGCCGCCCGCCGAGGTTTCGCGTGCGGCACCGCTCAGGGACGCCCGGCTCTCGCTTTTGACGGGGGCCCTCCTCTTTTCCAGGTGAGCCTCATGCTGAACGGGTGGCCGGTGATCTCCGCCTTCGCCGGTGACCAGGACGTGACCCGGGAGGCCGCCAGCAACGGAGTCCTGATCCAGATGGAGAAAGGCGACCGAGCCTACCTCAAGCTGGAGCGGGGGAACTTGATGGGGGGCTGGAAGTACTCGACCTTCTCCGGATTCCTGGTGTTTCCCCTCTGACCGGCTGGACGCGGGAGAGGAGGCTGGGAGAGGGCGGAGGCAGGAGGGCGCAGGAGCGCACGCGAGGGAGCGGAAATTAGGCGGGCGAGCGACTGGAAACTTCCTACCCGCTGGGTCCTTAGCCGTAGCGGGTGAAGAGGTGAGCGCCCCGGCCGGACGGAGCCGCCCGCTCCTTATCTGGAAGCCACCGCGGCTTAGCTGCGCGCGCTCCATCCCGAGAGTAAACTTGCCTCCCCCGCTCCGGTCGCGGTAACCTGGAAAGAGGCCGCCTTGTCACCGTTTCTCACTCCGCCAGTGTTCATGCTGCCCGCAATTTGTTGAAAAGAAACTTTGTATTTCACCATAGAAAGTGAAATCTGTCTCCTTGTTCCCCCTGGAATCCCTCCACCCTCCTGAAATCGAATATGCCCCCTCCCGCCCGCCCCCTGATTTTCAGTTAGGTGAGGGGGTAAGTATTTTATTTATTTATTTTTGGATGGGGGAGGTAGTTTCAATTTGGCACGTGTGGCTCTTCTTAAACGTCTCTAGCTGAAGATACATTGTATCCTCTGCTGCTTGTTGGTTGAGAAAGGACTCACCTTAGTGGTGCCTGGTTTAAAAATTATATATATATATATAAATATATATACCATTTGTACACGAACTCTTCCCGTGGAGACTGGCCGTGCTTCTGTGTTTCCTGTCCTAGTCGGAGGAGTGACGGTGAAACGTAAGGCCGATAGATGTTCGGACGCTTGCCCTTGCCCTCCTGCTCTGTGGCTCCGCTCCACGCCCAACGCCCAGGAGCTGCTTACGGAGGCTTCCCTGTCCCCCAACATATGTGCGAATAGCCAAGACTCAATTTCGCTTTAATCCAATAAAGTCAAAGTGAAACTTTTTATTTTTCTGAAACAGCTTTCTAAACCCCTTCCCCCCCGTCTTCCCCAGGTGCGAGGCTGGGGGCCGGGGTGCATAAAGTCAGGGTGCAGAGAGCTGCAGGCTTGGGAGAAGGCAGCCAGAGGAAGGCCGGGGCGTGCGGCATCCTCGCAAAGCCAGCCGGCCCTACGCTCCTCGCCGGCGCCAGGCCTAGGGCCAGCCTTGCCTTCGACTGTACTTCGTGCTTTGGCCTGAACCTATGACATTTTGGCCAACATCTCGCTAGGCCAGCTGTGGCTGCGGCCCTGGGAGCGAAGTTTAGGTTTTTCGCATTCTAAATGCATCAGGAATAACCCCATGTTGGGTACCCAAACCAGGCCGTCCTGAGCGGCAGCTTCCCCGTGCCTCTGCCCCTGGATGTCCCCAGCCCTCATCCGCTCCGCAGTTCCGAAGCAGCGTGTGCGTGTGCGTGTGCGTGTTTTACCACCCGCCTCTGAATCCGGAGTCCCGGCGCCCAGGACATTTATTCCAGAGGTTCGTCCAGGAGCTTTGATTGTATCGGAACATAATGTGACAGCAAAATTGAAATAAACCACTTCGTTTTAAGTCCGGAAGGCTGGCCCAGTCGCTACAGTAGCGGGGAGGTCGGGCGCGCAACAGCGGGCGGGCCCCTCTGGTTCTGCTTTCTGTTAGAGGCTTGCTCCTGGCCCGAGATTCAGGGATGAATTTAATTAGCTGGGGGCGGGGTGGGGGGAGAAGGGGGCTGTTTAACAGCAGCGCGAGAGGCAAGCTTTCTCGGGTTTATTCCGGCGGCGTAAGAAGTTCACGGAGCGCGCGGCCTCGCGGAAACGCTGACCCGGTTCGCCCTCTGCGCCCGCCCAGGGGAGTGGCCCCAGGTCCCGCGGGGCACCAGGAGAGGGAGAAGCGGACTCGACTGAGTTTCCGTACCTGCCCAACAGTTCCCTCTGACCTCCGCAGTCCCCAGGAAGGTGGGGACAAGGAGGAAGAGGGGACCGGAGAGGAACCGACAAGATCAATTCTGCTCTTCCACGAAGCGACTCGAGGGCTCCTCAGCCTCCCCGCTGCGAAGGAGAGGTTTGGACCGCCAGAGCCTTGGGGGGCGGAATTACCCTGACCGGACAGCGCTGCTGGCACGGAGTTGGCCATCCCGGCAAGCGGCGAGCGGGACACCAGGGCCGAGCCGCGCCGCGCAGCGCCGGTAGCCGCGCGGGAGCAGCTGGCAGCTCCCCAGATGCGGGTGGGCGGTCACCCATCGTCCCGGCTGCGTGGCCTTGGCAAGTCTCCTGCCTGGGCCTCATCCGCCCACCCCTGTGCGGACACGGAGGACTCGACGCAAGGCCGGCGATCCCTGACGCTCTGTGGCTCTGCGGACTCCAGCGGCCTCTGCTCCCTCGCCCGGGACCCGCAGGTGCTCTGGGCTCCGTGAGTGCATCCTGGCCATCCGGTGAGCTGAGCTGGCTGCTCAGGGGGCCTCCCTAAGCTAGCCGGTGGCTGGAGTGGAGGCCAAGGGCAAGGCTGCTGCCTCCAGGCAGTGGCACTGATTCCTCAGACCCAGCTTCTGGGTGTAGAAGGTGAACACAGGAGGAGCAAGTGGGTCCCAAATGGGAAGGAGAAGGGGAGGTTTGCTCTTCAATCTGCGCAGACTCCAGCTGGGCCCAGGCTCATCCTCTTCTTCCACCTGCCTGGACCCCCTGTGCCACAGGAGGAAAGCGTCTCCCATCACTGTCCCCGCTGTTCTCCCGCCGGAAGCTCAAGCATCCCTTTTCTCCTCCACTTTCCAAAAACTCCATCCTGTTTGGGACCTCAGAAGTTCAGCTAAAAGGCTCACCTGCTCTGGGCAAGTGTCCTGTCACACAGCACTGGCACTGTGCACTGACCCCCGCCCCACCCTCTCCGACCAGCCCTTGTTTGGAGAAGACCTGGGGTGGGCTCTGCAGGGCAGGGGTGGCCCACGCCGGCATGCACTCAGGAGTGCTGCGTGGGTGCTCCTCTCCAGAAGACCCTATAGTGAGGCGGGTGGGGTTCCGCATCTTCACACCTGTGTGGGGGGTTAAGGGGACCTGGGGAGGAGGAAGGTGAGGCAGAGCAGGAAACCAGGGTAAGTCTGGAAACTGAGCTCTGCTGAGAAACAGCAGGAGCCCCTACCTGTGCGCTGGGGAAGAAGGGGGTTGCAGCTCTGTCCGAATGGACTGTTCTACAACCCACATCTCCATGCGGCTTCGCTTAATGCTGAGATCCCTGAGAGCCCTTCCAGGTCCGGAGCCTGCCTCCTGGCTGTCAGTTTCAATAGCCTCCTTCTGATCCGAGCCCTTGGGGTTCCGGCACCGCCCCCCGCTTCATCCTCACCCCCGAAAGCCTCTTCCATAGCCCTCGGATACCCCTTCCTATCCCTCAAGGCAGTCCCTCACCTCCGGGGAGCCCTCCACGCCCCAGACACGCTGAGCTGCCTACCCCTCCCCCACACCTCCCCACCCTCCAGTGCCGGCAGACCAGGCCCAGGAGTATGGTGCGAGGACCCAGGCAGGCCTTGAGGGCTCAGCCGCTCCCACCCGGCTGGTGGGAGTCCGGCGAGGGCGGAGCCGGGGTCTGTCTGCGCCGCCGTCTGCGAAGCCTGCGGGTTGCGCTGGGTCCCTCGCCAGGCCCTTCGCTCCCTGCGGCTGCCTTGCCGCGGCTTCCCCATTAGCCGAGCTGGGAGCGCGCGGTCAGAGCGGCGCTAGAGCGCTAATGCTCACAGCCCGGGCGCAGCGCTCCTAATGAGAACATAATTACCCAGATGGAGAGGGAGCCTCGCCCCGCTCCTTAATTGTTGCCTTAATGGGGCAAGTGCGGGGCGGAGGGAAGGGGCCTAGATGGGGTCCTGGGGCTGCGCGGACTAGGTGGAAGGCGACAGAACCCGAGCTGCGGGCGGGCGGGCGGGCGACCTTCGCTCACCCTCCGCCCCAGTCCGAGCTTTCTTATCCTGGGCTCAAGAATGCGGGGAGTGAGCTGGAAGGCTTCCGGGGTTTCTTCCAGGGAGTCTTTCTTTTCCGAAGGACCTGTGGGCACAAGGAAACTTCCTCCCAGCAGGCGCCTGGTCTCGTCCTTATCACTCCCCGCGGGGATTCAAACAAAACAGGGAACCCTGTGGCAGACTTGGGGGAGCCCCCTGGAAGGGAAGCCCCGAGGGCAGTGCATACACCTGCCTTGGGGTTAATTCCCTGGAGGGAGAAAGAGGGCCCAGGGCCAATGACGGAGGCTCCCTTCTCTCTGCCACCGGGTTCCCGGTTGAAGATACAGCCGCTCTGAGCCTCACTTTCTTATTTCAGATAATCCTCGGCCAAAGGGTAGCTGTGAAGGCCATGCACTGCCCCGGGGACACGCAGTAGGTGCTGCAGAAGTAGCAATAGCAGTGAGAGTGCTAGACCCAGGATGGGTCCCGGTGTCACAGAGGCAGGGCCCAAGGGAGTGTCTCAGGGATCCTGGCTTCCAACTGATGGAAATAATGACCCCGAAGAAGGGAGGAGGCCCGAGATGTCACAGTTCCCCATGTGGAGCGGCTCACTCTCTGGCCCCCACGGTGTGCTGCATGGAGCAGGTGTGCTGCGATGGTGTCCTAAGCTGCATCAAACTTTGCCTGGCACAGTTGCAGGATATGGACACAGACAGTGACAACAACCCCCTCTCCCCAGCAAGTGCTCTAGACTGCGCCAAACAGAGAGACCTTCCCAGGTGCCTATGCGCACTCTCATTTTTTTTTTCTTAGGGCTCATTCAGCCCAGCTTGTCCCCTGGTTGCCCCAGCTGTGACCCTGGGCTGTCAGGGAGCAGGGACAGTGCAGGAACAGGCCAGTCTTGGATGCATGGGCTGGTGTTTGGATTTATCGCTAGGTCTGCTCAGAGGGACAATGCTCAGCATTGATCACGCTCAGGTGAGGCTGCCAGTGCTTTGGGCAGCGAGGAAACCCAGCAGAGCTGATGTCGGGAAGGAGAGCTTTTGTGATGATAAAGAAAGGTCTTCTGCTTGTGTGTGGCCACAACTCAGAGCTGAGGGAGGTCTTTGTTCATCTCGGCTGGGCTCTGAAGAGTTCAGAGAGGGGGTACAGGGCAGAGAGCAGGGTCAGCTCCTGCCTGATCCTGGCAGGCTCCAACCTGACATGTTCTGCTGGCATTGCAAAGCCAGCCCTGACCTCCTCTTGTCAGGGCCTTGCCCTCTGCCGACCACCCGAACTCTCCAATTCAGATCGCACCCTGGCCGTGGCTCTGCTGGACACCAGGCTCCGCGAAGACTGACTGCTGTCTGCAGGTTCCCGCAGAGTGCTCTGTGCCTACACGGGGTCAGAGGTGGTGGGCGTTCTTGAATGAATGAGTGAGTGAACAGGTGAACAGGAGGACAGATGGACTGAGGGATTAGTAACTGCATTGTGAGTGCACCTGCCTGGCCCACCAGCCTGACCTTCACAAAAGCATCCGTCTTAGCTCCACTCTCACTACCTAGCACAGGGTCTGGAACTCAGTCAGCATGAAAAGTATTCCTTGAAAGAATGAACAAATGGGAATGGGATTCAGTAGATCCTGAGATTCTGGAGTGTAGGCATGTACACTCTGAGAGTGTATTCCTCCCAAAATCCTCCCTATCCCACTGAAGAGCCACATTTACTTTAGATTGCAATCACATTATACCTGTGGTCTGGAGCTGACCCTACAGCACGTCTTTGCATGCTGCTTGTCTCGCCCCAGGCCCAACATACTGTGAACGACTCAGAGAGCAGGGTACCTCCCTTCTCCCAGCCTCGGATGACATACTTTGGTATTTATTGATGGGTTTCCTAGACTAGGATGAAACCAGAAAGTCTGTGGCAATGGTGGGCACAGAAGCCCTTAGCGGTGGTGCTAGGTGACCAAGATCCGATGGTGCCTGCCAATCCACTGCTGAGAGGCAGCGGGTGTCTTCAGTGCCCGCATGTTGACCAGCTGTGAACAGTAACCACAGTGGGTCTTAGCCAATGAGGGACTGGTAATTCCTCGTTCATAGCTGTCTGTAGGGACTCAAAGTTTTTGTCTGAGCCGAAAGCAGAATGAATTCTGAAATGCCCACACAGACCTAGATTCTGCTGTGGATCATGGAGGTGAAGTCGGCTCAGCCTGTTCATGCTCAAGCAAATCAAGAATTCCCCAAATCCCCCATGTTGCTCAGACCCAGTGTCCAGCAGCGGTTCAGTCCGACGCAGAGTTCTTTGTTCTGCCCTGTCCGCCAGAGCAACCTGCTTACTCAGGTGAGTCTCCAAGAGACTTTTCCTCCATCATCAGAAATGACTGCACAGTTTCAGAGGAATTTCCAAAGAGGGAAGGGGGAATGAGTAACAAGGGAGAGGCAACCGGGCATTTCTCCCTCCTCGTTTGAAAGGAAGCCGCTGCTTTGCCCACAGCTTGTGTTGGAAAGACGCTCCTTTGTATTCTGAGAGACTCGGAAATAAACTCCCCGATGTGTACTTCTGCTGAGAAGTTCAGATGATTTTATAATGACCAAGTGGCTCCAAATATGGTACTAAAAAGGCGGTTGATGAGGAGCCTGCTATCTTCCTAACTCATCTTGATCAAAGTTGGTCAATTGAGGT